GTTAAAGAGCAGCAGGCTACCTGCCCTCTGCTGTCCTGAACCTCCTCCCACGTCCTGGGGAAGTCTGACACCCTCTGAAGTTGAATCACTTTCCCAAGGGGCCTGTATTTCCAGAACCCTGTGTCGCACATCCCACCAATGCAAACATGAACATCTGCCCTTTACACACACATGCACACGCACACACAGAATCCCTAGGGGCGTAATTCTCAGACAGCTGTCACGCTGCGTATTACACAGCAAACAATTTAGAATCTGTTCTTCAAACACCTTCGCTTCATCCTACCTACAGACAGGGGCTTCCCCCCACTCTGCAGCAACCTTTGACAACTCCCTTCCCCCTTCTTCCCTCCACTCCTTACTTTTCTCTCTCTCTCCCTCTGTAACACTCTACTTTTTCATGTGGAGAAGGCTCATCCTTAGGCACCTTCATGGTGGGACTCCTGCTCTGAGTCACACCTTTCACCCTCCAATTCTCTTCAACACAAGAGTCCCTTCTGAAGGACACTTTCAGCAACAGGCCTTTCTTTCTGTTAACGTTCCTACTCTGCAAGAAAAGAAAGACCATCATCAACCTGACTTCTGTGGAAAAAGCCCAGCCTGAGATGCAGGAAGGGGATGGTCCACGTAGAAGATGGATCTGGGTGAGACCAGGGACACAGCTTCTTTAGCCACAACTTGCTAAGGCATCAGAAGTCGACGTCAGAGCCTGACGATATATTTGGTTTCCATTTACATAGACATGACCATATTTTACATAACTATCATAAATGGATTCTAATTTTATTCATAGTTAGGGAACAAGACATTCTCAAAAAATTTTTTGTTGTGTTTGTAAAGCTTCTGGTTGAAGAACTCGAGATATCATTAGGAATTAGATATCATTAGGAAGATGGGCCATACCTAGGGATTTCAGTCAAACCCTGGTTCTCAGGAAGCAGAACAAATAAGTCGAATTCCTTAGAAAAAAAAAAATGGCTTACTCTTTTTTTCCCTGTAAATGTGCTACATGCTATCTAAACTTACAGCTATAATATAACAAAATAATCTTTTATTAAGAAGATTTTTAAAAATTATACATTTTCAATGGAATCTTACTCAGCCATAAAAAAGAATGGGATTCCACCATTTGCAGCAGCCTGGATGGACCTGGAGGACATTGTGTTAAGTGAAATAAGCCAGGCACAGAATAATAAATACCACATGTTCTAACTCACATGCATGTTGAGGGCCACAGCGGAGTCGGGATGACGCATGGCACTTTTGCCAGAAGTAGTGGTTGAGAGGTGACGCCAGCGAGTTCTCACGGAGTTCCCCGATGAGTTCCAGTTGAGCTCTCGCGGGGATTCCTGAAGAGTTCTCATTGGTTGGGGAAGTGCAGGAGGAGGGATTTCCCGTTGGTTGTTCCTGGACCAGCCGCGTGGCGTTCGGGAGAGTTCCCGGGGAGCGTGTGTGGAGTGTGCTGGTGGAGTTCAGAAATAAAGTTTGTTCCTGCTTGAGTGGCTTGTGATTTGTGCCCAGCCAGACTGCAGCATATGCAAAAGCTAAAAAGCTGATCTTACAGAAATAGAGAGTAGATAAATAGTTACCAGAACATGGGAGGGGTTGTGGGACAGAGAGAGGATGGCTCACATGTCCATGGCACGGTGGATAGGAGGAACAACTCCCATGCTCTCCCATGTAACGGATAGTTGACATCAATTAGTTGTATTTTTCTGTAAAATAGCTAGTAGGGAGGATTCTGAACATTCCCAGCAAAAGTGATAAATATCAGAGGTGATGGACGTGCAAATTACCCTGATCTCATCATTACACAGTGTATACATGTACTGACATGGCACACAGTACCCCCAAGCTATATGTAATTATCACATCAATTAAAAATAACATATTTAAAAATAAAATAAAGTGTATATATATATATATATATATATATATACATACATACACATGGATAGATAGATAGTACATTCTATAACAGATAAGTCCTATAACCCAAAGCAAAGTGTTCTCCAGGTGCAGCCCCAGACCAGCAACACCAGATCAGCACCAGGGAACATTTTTAGGAACACATGTGCTTAGGCCCTTCCTCATACCTGCTGAATCAGAAGCTCTGGAGCAGGGAAAGCAGTTGGTATGTTAATAGGCCCTGCGGCTGACACTGATGCTTGTTTATGTCTGAGAACACTGTTCCACTGGGTCTCTGAATGGCCATATTGAATATTTCTGAATTCCAGTCCCTTGGATTAGATTCATTTCAGTGTGGAGTCTGCTGGTTAATAAAAATCTATGGCCCTGTCCTCAGATTACATGCTTTCTACAGTGTTTGCTAGAATTCTACCCCCAAGGTGATGGGATTGTGTTAGGAGATGGGCCTTTGGGGAGGTGATTAGGTCCTGAGGATAGAAACCTCATAATGGGATTAATACCATTATAAAAGAGACCCTAGAGACATCCCTGACTGCTCTACCCTGAGAGGAGAAGGTGCTATCTGAACTAGGAACCACCGGCTGGTGCCTCCAGAACTGTGAGAAGTGAATGTTCTTGTTTAAGCCATCTAGTCTATGGTACTTTTATTGTGGTAGTCAGAATATACTAAGGCAGTATCCCTGCCCCTGCTGCCCACAGCTTTCAATCAGGATGTTACTCCGTACCCTACACTCCAGGGTCCTTCCACTGGGATTGGCCATAATCTACATGCCATAATCTACAAGAAAGGAAGATCTTATTCTTAATTGCTCTCCTAATTCACATGCTCAGAGCTAACTCAACAATTCCTAGAATATTCAGTTATCCCAAGGGAAAGCTTATTTGTTCCTATTCTGGATCAACTGTGGATACAACACTTCCACAAAGGCCCATGGCTAAATGCTCACTTCCTGAGATATTGCTCAGAGCACTGCTGACCTCCCCTTACTGGGACTATGTGGAGTGTATTAGTCCATTTTCCATAACTGTAACAAAATAACTGAGGCTTGGTAAGTTATAAGTAAAAAGGTTTATTTAACTTTTAGTTTTGGAGGCCACAAATCCAAAAAGCACAGTACTGGCTCTGGTAAGGGCCCCCTAGGCTACATAATAGCATGGTGAGTGGCATCATGGCGGAAGCATATGCAAGAGGGAGCAAATCAAACGGTGACATAAAAGCTAGAGGGAAAGACCAGGGAAGGGTCTGCTTCTTCATGAGAACCCTCTCTGGAGAGTGAACCAGGGTCCCATGAAAACTAATTAATTCCTTTGGAGGGCAGTGACCTCCTTGACCTAATTGCTTTCCATTAAGCCACATCTCTTAATGGTCCCACACCACCTCCCAACATCACCACACTGAAGACCAAGCTTCCAAGGGTTAATCATGAAGATTTGGGGGAAACACTAAATCACAGCATGGGGCTAGCTTGTTTCCTTCTAGAACAACTGACCCACCTCTCCTTGGGACTCAGCTTTCTCCTTGGGTTCTGTCAAAGCCAGTTTTTACTTAAACTTGAACCTGCATCAGACCTTCCTAGAGCACTAGGCCCTCCCAGAATGCTGGGCCCAGCCCACAGTTTCCCACTCAGTGTGTCTTACGTGGAGTCCAGAAGGTGCTCTTCTAACAAGCTCCCAAGGAAGCCAATGCTGTTGTCTCCCCAGACCACTTTGAGGACCACTGTTGAAGACCACCATCACTGAACTTATTTGCACACAGGTACCTTTAAAATATCAGTCCAGGCTTATCCCTTCCCCAAATAACTACTCTTTAATATCTCCCTAAAAATCCAACTACTCACCAATAAATTCAATATGTTTGTTTTCCTTTATTGGTCATTAAATCTCCACATACTACCAAAAGCAGTTGTTTTGGGAGGATTTTGTTGTTGTTGTTGTTGTTGTTGTTTGTTTTGTTTTGGTACCGGTGACTGAACTCAGGGGCACTCAACCCCTGAGCCACATCTCCAGCCCTTATTTATTTAGAGGGTCTTTACTGAGTTGCTAAATGTCTCCTTTTTGCTGAGGCTGGCTTTGAAATCACGATCCTCCTGCCTCAGCCTCCCAAGCCACTGGTATTACAGGTGTGTGCCACCGGGCCTGGCCAAAAGCAGTTTTAAGGTGACTTTAGTTCTTATTTCGCCACTGAAAGAAATAGTCGACTTTCCTAGCGCACTAGAAGAAATGCCTGCCCTCCCTGGGGAAAGAGTGTCCTCTGTTGCTCCTGACTTCTGCGGGCCTTGCCCGTGTCTCAGATTCTCTTGGGTGCGGTGGCGTCAAGGTTGAAGAACGGCAGGGTAACAGAGGTATATGGAGGAAGGATAAGATGATCTTGGGTTTGAAAGAGAGCAGGATGTGTATCACATCAATGATCCCAACAAGGACCAGCCAATTAAGCCAGACTTAGAAGGAACACCCGGCATCCCCACCCTGCAGGTTCCCCCCACCAGGCCAAACCCGTAAACAGCACAGCACTGACTTTCCCCCCAACACCCCCGGAGCCCACGTCTGCTGCTCCCAAAGCCAGGTCCTATTTTCTTCAACTGGACAATGGAGTGCTGAGATCCTAACCCCCAACAATGGAGCCAAAACCAGAGAGAGCAAAATGCCAGTTAGGCAAAGCCTCATTCCAAATTCCAAATATCAGTCTGCAGCCCTCAACATGCCAAATGCTCCCTGCTGGTCCCAGCCAGATCCCGGGCCCTCTAGAGGCTGGGAGCTCCTGATGGAAAACACGTGGAGGCCTGTGGTTTATCTTTCCTGGGTTTACAACTCCACCTGGGGCTGGGAACGCTAAGGAGGGCTGTTTTGAAGGACCCCAGGCACCATGTCATGCGTCCCTTGCTGGTCTGCTCCCTGAGAAAGCATAAAGTCAACATCCACTGGATGCCAGACCCAGACCAGCCTCATCCTGACCACCCAAGTGCCAGTGGCCCCCGGGGAACGGATCTCACCTTCTGCTCTCACAGTGCGGTCTCAGGAGCCTGAGATTTGAGAAGTGAAACCCAACAGGCCTCTCCCTTCGTCAGAGGAGAGGAAGCGCCTCTGGGGCCCTTTTATGGGGCCTGTTGGTTTTCTGTTGGTCACACACAGGCCCTCGCCATGAACGGTCTCACGGCTGCCCTCCTGGTCTGGACTCTGATTTCTCCCAGCGGCGGAGGCCACGGGGGCAGAGGGGAAATTTGGCCCACACACGTGGCCTGCAGGAACGAGGGCTTGGAAGTGTTCTACCAGAGCTGCGGTAAGTTCTTTCAGATGTCCACCTGTGTTTACGGGGAGATCAAGCCTCCAGCTGTGGGCTGTTTAAGGGCTCAGTGGGTGTGGGGTGAAGGGAGAGGGGACCAGCCACTTTCTCCAGCTGCAGTGAGTCTGCAGGGGCAATTGGCAGCCCATGGGAGAAGGAGGGATGGAGGGAAGACAGCCCGGTGAGAGTAACCCAGAGCGAGAAGGAGAAATCAAGCATCGAGATGCAGCAGTTCACTAGCAAAACCCAGGAGCCCCCAAAGAACAAAATGACCAATGGGTCTTCCAAATCATGGAACCTCACCCACTGAAAATTAGGAAAAGATGCCTCCGAGAGGCTTTCCCCGCCCCCCAGGTTGTGCATGGGCTCACCTTCCAGTATGTTTAGTTTGCAAGTTACCCCAAGATCCCCACCCTCCTTCCAGAATTTCCAGCGCTGCCCCCGGGGCGGCACCATCGATCATCAATCTTAATCAGCAAGCCCTGTGAGAGGAGCTGTGGGTGCAGGGTTTTCTCTAGTGCTAAGGATCACGAAAGGGAGCGCCATGGTTTGAAGGGGCCTTGCAGACGTCATGTGTTGGAAACTTCTTCCCCGGGGCGGCTGTGTTGGGAGACAGGACAAAATGAGAGATGACGCTATCAGGTTCTGACCCACAGAAGTAGATCGGCATCATTATCCAGGAATCCAGGAGTAGGGGAGTGACAGAAGAATAGATCTGGTCTGCCCCACCCCTTTGTCCCTCTGCTCCACACAGCAAGAAGCCCCCTGGACCCTGGACCTTGGGCTTCCCAGACTCCAGAACAATAAGCCAAGAATCTCTGTCTTACAAATGGCCCAGTGTGTGCTGTTCTGTTACGGCAGCACAGACAGGAGAGGGAGACTGGGCGTTACCCCAAAGGCCAAACCAGCCCGCCCGCGGGAAGGTCACGGTCCAATGAGTAAAATGTCTGAACCAACCCACTGGGGTGTGTCTCGGTCCCCAACGCTGCAAAGTATCACCCACGTAGTGACTTTAACATCAGGACATCATTGCCTCAGAGTTCTGGGGGCTGCAGGTGTGAGGTCAAGGTGTGGGCAGGGCTGGTTTCTCCTGAGGCCTCTCCCCTGCCTTGCAGACAGCTGTCCACTCCCTGTGTCTACATGTGGGCTTCCCTCCATGTGTAGCTGTGTCCTGATCTCCTCCTCTTATAGGGACACCAGTCAGATTGGATTAGGCTTTATTTAAACTTAACCACCTCTTTAAAGACCCCCCATTCACATTCTGAGGACGGGGAGTTAGGACCCCAGCACATGAGTCAGAGCAGACACAATTCATGGTGCAGGTCACTCTTGCTTTACAATGTCGATGGGACCCTGGGTCGTTGGTATCCTGTCCGTGTAAGATGTAGAATAATAGCAAGACTGGAGATGCCCGGAGCCCTCAGAATTTGTCTTCTGATTTCATCATCATATAAAAAGTTGCCGGGGCTGGTCTGTCTCCATACTTACCTTTCAGACTATAGCCACTACTGCCAAATCACTGTCACCAGAGGCATGAGGACTGGGAACATCAGGGAAAGAACCAGGACCTATAGTCTGAAGATCTGGGGTGTGATTCCCCCTGGGGAGGGGGGACCTACTCCACAGAGCCATTAAACCTCAGGTACAAGCCCAGCTCTCGGCTCTGGGAATAAAGGAATGGAGGTGTCAGGAGTGTGCTGTGTCATTAACATAGATGAAACACCTTGTGTCTCTCCACAATGTCAGAATCTATTGAATAATAAATTCACAGGCTACACCACTTTCATCTCTGACAGACGAATACTTGTGGGTCACCTGGTTGTCACAAGCCAGGCAATCACAAGGTTTTTTTTTATTCCCATCTTGATTTCTAATATCTAAACACTCAAGTCACATACACTTTACACGATGATATATAGATAGGTCACAGAAAGACTAAGAAAGGGTTAAAGTGGCCGCTGGCTTACAGGATGCGATGGAGCCAAAAGCCCACTGTAGGTGGTCAGATAAGGATTTTAACCAATTCCTCAGAATTGTCCAAGCAGAGGGTCCAGATGGACGGCAGTTTCAGTCGAGTGTCGAGTGTTGCTTGAGGTGTCAGCTTGGAGCCGGCTCTGCGTGGTCTTTGCAAGCAGGAGAAACCACACTTAGCTGAAGCCCAGTAGGGACAGGAAATTGTAGGTCCCTCATGGTAGCAATCTTTCTGGACAAGGCTTATGATGAGTAACCAGGTGACAGGGTCAAGGAGCTACCATGCTCAGTTTCGGGGTGGAGGACTCCTCCTTTTATGTCTTGAGTGAAGGGTTCTCATCTGGTGGGGTTGATAATTTCCCATGTCTGATGTGACTGCTGTGATTTGGGATGCCCACATGTCTGGGTACGCCTGGGTTTAGTGTGGTCAGTTGGCATGTATACATCATCTATCAATCTGTGCCTTATGGTGCTACAGGGCAGGTGGTGGTTGTTGACTTGCACAAACAAGGTGTGGAATCATTCGACCTTGGCACTTGTACTCCAAATGGAGTAGCTCCTGGCAAATTACTGCTTTAGAAAATGAGGTCACTCAGGCTTAGGCACAGCCTGAAAACAGATGTTCTATGCGTCAAAGAGTCATTCGGAGCAGGACACAACCTGATCTCCACAGGGGGACATGCAGTCCTCATGCAGGAGCCATGGGAGGATCAGACAATGAATCCTTTGTATGAAGGGCTGCCACAGAGGCAGGCATGGTACCAGGGGACAGGGTGTTCAGAAGAGTGTAAGGTTGGTGCTGTCCAGGAAGAAATCATTAAACTTAAGTTGAAATTTAGCAAATGAAAAATGTAACAGTGGCAACACCTCCTCTTCATTGGAGGTTTGCTTATATGCATCAGGGACCCTGCTAAGTGCTTTGTAGGCATCCTTCTCATAGACACGGAAACTGAGGTTCAGAGATGTCAGCTAACTTTTCTGAGGCCACACAGCTAAGAGTGGTGGAATCACACCCCTAGGGGAACAGAGAAGACAAGAAACTGAACAAATATTTGTGGAATTAAAACAAATGCAATCCCAGCCTGTCTGACTCCAGAGCCTGTTCTCTGAATGCCCCTGCTGGCTAGAGCTTGTCTAGTAGGCAAGACGGAACAGAGAGGGGACAGGGGAGGAGAACTTGGTCTCATGGAACAGCACGTAGGAAGGCAGGGAGACAACGACTTGAACTGGTTTAGCATTCAGAACGCTGAGGAGGGGCTGTAGGCACCAGGCAGGGGTGAGAAATGAGGCAGGAAATGTGGGCAGAGCCCCAGACCAGGGTGGGTGTGGGTTCCCTCCCGTTGGCGATGAGGAGGTTGAATTTTGGAAAGATCCTTTGGGGACTGAATAGGAGCATCGATATTGAAACAGAAGCTATTTGTGGCTAGAAATAGGGTGTGTAGCCAGGAAGAATGATAATTCTGGAAAGACACCATGAGAGTGTGAGTTAACATCATTTCCACAGCCTGAATATCAGGGGAGCTCTTTGGTACACTTTTGGGTCAGTCGAAGGGCAAGCTATATTCTGGAACCTTCTGCCGGGTTGGGTATACCTGACAGCCATTTTGGTTCAGGCCTGAGTGGTTACATCTCCCTGCCCAGAAGGAGATGGTCTGTCGCTCTGTTGCTGTCCTCAAGGAGGCAGCACCCGGAGCCCTGTGCGTGGATGTCACAGGGCAAAGGCCACACTTCTGTGAAGTCCAGACCTCCTGAGTGCTCACTGGAGACTTCTAGATCTCACGGTGCGCCCAGAAGTGGGAGGGCTGTCTGACAAAACAAAGGAGCCATTGTTTCCTAGGATTCGGGCTTCTCTTTTCATCCTTTAACTTCCGTGTGTCAGGAGCATGGAGGAGACCTTAGGACAGAGGCTGTCCTGAATACTACAAAAATCCTTGAGGAAGAAGGAGCCGTGTGCAGTTTCCGGGCTCTCCATACCAATCAGGAAGTGAGCAAAATTTTTCTGAAAAAGCAGAAGGAAGTCAAAAAGTCACTGTCTCCATCAGAAACAGAAGCATGTTCTTTGTTTAATTGTCAAATAATACAACAAGCCCAGGGACAAATGCCCACCAGTATATCTACTTCTCCATGGCCTCTGGGCCACCAAGATGTGAATTACTGAAATACATATGATTAGAAGAGGAAATTGGCAGCCGTGGGAGACACAGGGTGTGGGGAAGAGTAAGGGAAGGTGCTAGGGACTGAATGCTTGTGTCTCCCCACAATTCGTGTTAAATCCTAACCCCCAAAGTGATGGCTTTAGGAGTCAAGATCTGGGGGGGGATGATTAGGTCACAAGGGTGGAGCTGCAGGTATGGGATTAGTGCCCTTATAATAGGCACCATAAGTACAAGAAAATTGTAGAATTCCTTTCAGAGAATCATTGCCATAATAATCTCTCTCTTCTAAACGTCAGTTTAAAATTTAACAAACTCCCTCCCTTTGTAAAGCCCTCGTTTAATCCTTATGAGCAGCCCTTTGAGGTAAGCAGGATGTTTATCTCCATGTTCTGGATGTAGAAACTGAGGCATATGCCTAGTGAGTATGGAAATAAAGTAGCCGAACCGAGCCATGACATTAAACCTGACTCCATGCCCAGCGATTCAGGGCTGGGCGGGTTGGGCTCCTCCTTCTCCAGCATCCCCTGGGAGCCTGCAGCAGCGGCAGGGCGGGACCTCCCCCTCTGCTCTTTTCAGCCACATGGACCAAGTTCTCTTCTGTTGTCAGGTGGTATCTGGAAATGCCATCTCCCAATTCAAAGAGTCAAATGAAGGGCCATTCTCTAATTATTAAAAACAGTGTTTACTGCAGTCAGAGCGCTCTGTGCAGTTGGCGTGTTTATTTCGTATGGAAGCCCATTTCCCACAACCGACAATGGCTTCCTCTGTGCAGTAGTTGGTGAGTGGGGAGCAGAGGGGAAACTGTTGTGGGTGAACCCTATGGGACCTGACCAGCCCCTGGGAGTTTCCAGAGTCAGGTTACCATGGCTT